ATTGTCCGGGCACGTTAAAAATAAGCGAGCCAAACGAAAACAGTGATATTCTAATTATCATAAACGTAAATTATTTAATATTTTAACATAGCCTCGAATTATGTGCTCTCAGTCTCCAGAAATTTGATCCCACTATTCTTAGTCGAGTAACAATTAAGCGGGCGTTAATGTAATCCACTATGATCGTAGTATACAGTTACGATTGCAAATGGTAAATTTACATATGGGGTAATTGTACAAATAGCGCCGTCAATGAACCACGATAACCTAGTTCTAGAAATAACGAGGTAAGAGGCAATTGTATCCGGTGTGAAAATTTGTCACTTGAAAACGGGGATATCTTCTGATTAGGATTGTTTTACGTGAGCGACGTACGCAAAGGGTGCGCGTGAAGGGGTTGCATATAATTTGACAAATGTTCGAAACAGTTTGCGTCGGAAATGCTTCCCTTTTGCAGCTATTGCGTTATTGTTCGAGAAAACAAACGGTAATTATTATACGCGAATTACTGTTCGATTTGTAGCGGGGGAGGCGCGTTTGATTTAATCGCGCGCTGGCTGTGATTATTGTAACGCTTGACACTGCTGAATATATTCGTATAACAGGTCCTAATAATAATAGCGAAATTTGCCAATAATTTGAGGAACAGAAGTTTGCAATTTATGGGAATGGGCGCGATTTGGGAAGACATTTGACTCATTGTCTAGAGATGACAGGTAGAAACAACTGCAACGAGTTTACGATACTCGTCATTTTTGTAGAATCGTATTTAAATATTGATATTTGAATATATAATAATAAGAACAATGTAACTAATTTTAATGCATTGTTTTGGAAACCTTCGAGACGAAGGAACAATAGATCTATTCAGATCTTGATCCTCTTCTCTGGCACTATTGAAGTTAGCTCCACGAAACTGAAGTCAATTCGTTGCGTATAAAATTGTTTCCCTCACACAATAACTGATGAAACATTAAGAATATTTTATATTTATCATCCCCTAAAGATTCGTATCGAGGCCAGTAAGTTCGTTGCAAACTGTCTGCACTTATCATCCCTTGGAAATTTACTCCGACAAAATATCGAAGGATGTATAATCCGTAAAAGGCCAACGGAATTAAAAGGGTTTCAATTCGGTGGGTACAGAAATTTTGCGAAAATTTGTATTCGAATTCTTCGCGGTCAGAGCAGCGGGATGAACTTTAATCTGCGATATAGAGATTCCAGATTGAACGCGGTGGTGAAAAAGCACTGGGGTAAATTGTTTTTTGAAATTCGTTCCAGTGGGTGGTCCGCTAGCGATTTGCAAGCAACGTTTTGGCGCTCTTTAATTTGTTTCGTGACGAGGAGAGGATTCGAAAATGGAGATAGGCGAATTGTACAGGGTGTCTCGTTTATCTCGATCACTCGAGGCGTCATCGTTCTATACTAGAAAATAATACTTTCCAAAAAACGAGGTAAGATTTTTATGAACTCAAAGGAAGGAATACCGATGAATTGAAAAAAGATGAAATCGATGGGTCGAAAGAAGCTGAGAACATCGTTTAATGAAAACCAAAGATAAATTGACAACAACATGATTGAATTGTAAGAAAATTAGGTGAATCGATATAGGAGGTCGTCGATGATTTTTATGGTCCAAAAATGTGATCGTAAGGAGCCTATTCTCTTCGGGAATAGAGTCTGGTTCTTCGCTCGAGGAATCTTCCTTACGAGTGGAATATCCTGTACATCGAAGCGCGTTAAGCGAGGCGTGTGCGAGGCGTGTGCGAGGCGCTATAATCAATTCAGTAAAACCCAGCGGATCAAAGGGGAGCGCGAGCAAGTTTCGGAGCGAATTGATCGGTTACGGGGGTGGTGGTTGTTGTGCCTAGGCGAGGCTGGGAGGCGTTAAATTATAAAGCGGCTGATCGCGAATTGGCGCCCGGGCGCGCAAACATTGCGTAATGCCGCGTAATAATTGAAACCGCAGCTCTCTGTGCAGCGCGTTCATCTTTAAACGCGGTCGATGGCGATCGAATTTAACGTTCCGTGCCGCGCGAACTGAAATCCACCGTCGAGGTCACTTTAACCGACTCGCCGCGAGGTTTCGAAGTCTTCGTCGCACGCTGCAACACGTACACATTTGTTCTTTGTTGCTCGAGAAAATTCTACGTTTATTATTATTATTATTATTTGTATTATTATTTGTATTATTATTATTATTATATTATTATTATTAGTATTAGTATTAGTATTATTACGTATCGCGTACACACGGCGACAGAAATTCGTGCCCAGTTAGAGAAATGTGGTCAGTTCGATGCTACACTTGCTCCTTTGAGTGCGCAGAAGCATCGTGCCGCTGACCTCGCAGGGAAACGGTCCCCCGATAGTGATACAATAGTTTTATTATATCACAAATACTTGTGATGCATGCTCAAAGTTGTTTTTTTTGGAAATGAAACAATTTGGTAAATAATAATTTATTCTCTGAGTGGGTTAACCACTCTTTGTTTCGATCTGTTCCGTTGCGTGGTCACCGGCCGAATGACTCCGCGCATCCGTGCCGCGCAGCAGCCACGCCCTCAGCTCGCGTGACCATCACGTGACCGAGAAGGAGAAGGGGCCACGAGCCTCGCGGTCGACACGAACATCGCTCACCGTGACTGTACGTTGTTCTCCTACCCCTTACCTCCGATTTGAATCGTAGAATTCGAAAACTCGTGATTAAACGTTACACGATTAACGGTGTCCGTCCCTACGGTAAACGGCGTGCCTATTTAATAGGAAACATGATTCGGTTCGCGGTGATTTCGTTTTATTTGTCGGTGACGGTTTCTCGACCACGCCACCTTGTACTCGTGCTCGTTTCCGAGATCCCCGTCCTCTTCCTACGATTCGTGCATCGATGTGCGTATATAATATCGTACAACGGTTACGTATTCTTACATGCAAGCGACGTTGGTTGCAAGCCGCGCCGAAAGTTTCCGTACCGCGGCCTCGAAACTTGCTGTTCCGTTCGCTCGACGTATTCTTCCCTTATTCTGTTATCTTTTCCAATCCCCCGGTCCGCCGGTGAAACTTTCCACCCGATGTCGTATCTCGGGATCCCTGTATTTCAACAATTTCTGAAACTTCTTTCCTCGCCTCGCGCGCTCCGAATCGAACACCAGGTAATTCGAACGACGTCGGACCAAAGAGAACAACGAGGGGGTTTCTCGGTCAGCCGCGGGTCCCGGTCGACAATTCTATGCACCGACAGCCATGTTTTTTTTTTGCTCGTCGGAAACGAAAACTCCCGGAACGGCCGCCGCGCGACGTATTATATACACACGCATACGCATTACTATACATATCTACATTCACATCGATAATAATGGATTGTCGCGACTTTTAATTTACATTCGGACCGTGCGCCAGCTGTCCGAGGAACTTAGAGAAGGAAGAATGCCGCGGGTCTCTCTTTCGTTTCGTTTACTTCCCTCCGCGTAAGGACGAAGGCGAGAGGAAACATCGATGGAAAGATTCGCGAGAAACACTAGACGCGGAAATGTGGGCGATTTTCCAGGGACGGATCACGGAGAACGCGAGTCTTCGCATCGAGTGGCATGTTCCTTTGAGCGAAACGCTCTCAGAAATATCTCTAATAGTTTTTGTACACTGTACAGTGGGCGACAGAAACTCGTTCAAACTCATGGCGCTGCCCCCTCTCCTCGACCCGTCCCACTGTCGCGCATGCTCAGCGCGCGACGGCTGCGCAGTGTCATTACGCCGCTGACCGTTCGACTGGACGGGCCGAATCGTCCGAAACATTTTTTTTTTCGTAGCGTTTTGAGAGTGAATTCTGGTACATGCAGATTCACTTTTTAATTAAAATACATTTTAAATATCGAATACTTGTATTATATATTTGAGGTGGGGGTTTTAGTTTGCACGAAACTAATAAAATCTGCGATTGTATCGTTACTATATGTACCGAATATTGAAATATTGAAATAATGTTTAAAATATAAATAATTCGGGAAGTACAAACGTTTATTGAAGTTTCGAAAGATGGGTCCGTCTTGTCGAGCGTTCAGCGTCGCAATGATTCATTTGAACAGAGAAGGAGAGGGGATAACGTCGAGTGGGCAGTATGCCCCAAAGTCGGCACGGATTTCAGTCAGCGTGCACAATAAGTTCGGATCGCCACGTAGCAATTTCCTCGACTACGTCGAGTTGCCCGCGGGGGTTCCGTTCGTCTTCGACGGTGTCATCGTGAATTAACAACTAGTCGGAAGAGGTATCCGATCGAGGGAGAAGCCAGCAGTCGCTGAGGCGGTCCGGGACACCTCACAGAGGATTCACGAGTACCACGATCGAACCGTGTCCCGAACTCGTTTTCGTTTCGAGCTCTCCGTGACTCGTACATACGTTCGTTCGACCGCCTGCAGACCGGAAATCGGTCGTGTATAATCGGCGAAACAAATATAGCGATCTCCTTGGGTCAGTTTCTAGCGATTTAGAAGATCGTTCTTACCGCTCGCCAGATTTCCAGACCTTTGATTTAGGAACCATCGATCCTCCGTCACTCCTCGGTTTGATCAAGGTGGCAAAAGGTAACCATAACCGTTGAAGGTCCTAGCATTCAAAAAAGATTCCACCTTCACCCTATATCGTCCGCGTTCCGCGTTCTCTACGAGACAGCTATAGTCGTTCCAGCAACTATACACGCCTATGGGCACGCTTAACGCGCTAGTGGTCAACCGGAATCCCATATTCCAGAAACTTCTCCGTGTTTCCGTCTACGACGTTAGACGGAACTCGACGATCCCGTTTGGCTAAAATTTCGCCGCGTACGCGTCTCCGCGAACGCTTCAGCTGGGAGTCTTTCCCCCCCTGGACGTTTTCGCGCGGTCGAATCCTTCCATCGACAGGTCACCTCGTCTTCGTCGCGAAGCGGTCACGCGCGATCGATCTCTCCTCGCGGTAGCCAGAATCCGTTCGGAATTCGAGGAACAGTCGATGAACGACCTGGTTCACTTAAACAGTATCCTGCGGAACGCGCGTCGGAAGTCCTTGTTGAATACGGTGTAGATGAAGGGGTTCAGGGCCGAGTTTATGTAGCCGAGCCAGAAGGATATGACGAACGCCATCGTGGGTATGTGGACTTCGTTGAACAGAGGCTTCACGATGTAGAGGACGAAGAACGGCAGCCAGCAGGCGATGAAGCTGCCCATTATGAAGCCCAGGATCAGCGTGGCTCGTTTCTCCTTCTTCCTGGCCAGTCTCCTCTTCTCTCTCTCTGGGTCCCGGGGTTTCGAGGATTTCGCCTCGGCGCTGGCGCCGTCCTTCGCCGACGGACGCCCCACGTCGCCGTGCTCCCTTCTCAGTTTGCCCAGGTTCCTGCGACCGAAGATCGGTTGACACAGACGAAGCTTCAACGGTTTCACGACCGCGCACCTGGACACTGCGCCGCTGTCCGACGACGACGGGTCGAACTCGGAGACCATGTCCACGTCGATGCCGACACTGGGCGCCCTGCACCGCGACGGCACGCTCGATTGCCCGTCGCCGTTCACCGACAGCGTCGCCTTCAGGCTGCTCTTCTGCATCGGCGCGGGAATCGCCACCTGCGGACGAACAATCACCCTGGTCAGCGCCGATTTTAAAGATAACGATCAAAGACGCGCAAAAATCTGCGATATACGGGGTGTCCAACCACCCCTTGTAAACATTTTAATGGATGATTACAGAGGCCAACATAAGGAATTTTTTTCTCGAAAGTGCGTACGATTTTGAGGGTATATCTATTCACCAAAAATGATTGCAATTGACCCCTGCAACTAAAAATAATTTTTCCCGAACGATTTGGAATTTTTTTTTCCGTCGAAAAATTTCACACCTTCTCGAATTTTTTTCTCGAAAGTGGGTAGGATTTCGGGGGTATATCTGTTCACCAAAAATGATTGCAATTGACCCCTGCAACTAAAAATAATTTTTCCCGAACGATTTGGAATTTTTTTTTCCGTCGAAAAATTTCACACCTTCTCGAATTTTTTTCTCGAAAGTGGGTAGGATTTCGGGGGTACATCTGTTCACCAAAAATTATTATAATTGACCCCTGCAACCGAAAATAATTTTTCCAAAACGATTTGAATTTAGGCACCTAACCCCTGTCGATTTTTCTTAAAAATTCGTTTTTGAGTTTTAATAAATTTGTTTGACGCTGTACAAAAAAGTTGTTTAATATTGTTTTTGTAGGTACCCATGAGCTCTACTTCAGAAAAAAGTTTCATTGAAATATATTCACTGTTGTAGGAGTTATGGTCGTTTGAAAATTGGACTATTCTTATGGGGGTTTCTTTATTTTACGGGGTCAAGGAACAACTTTTCAACTATTTTTGGAATTTCTACATATTCTCCATTAAAATACGCGTTGTTTGCCTCGTGAAACATTAAAATCCCCCAATCCGTTCAGGAATTATGACATTTTAAAGATTCGCATGAAATTTCAGGGAAACATTCATACCATATGGTCAGACAATACATTTTCGGTAATGAATTTTTTTCTCGAAAGTGTGTAGGATTTCGAGGGTATGTCTATTGACCAAAAATGATTGTAATTGACCCCCGCAACCAAAACTAATTTTTTCACAACGATTTGAAATTTTTTAATTTAATTTCTTAATAACCTTTTAACGAAGCCTAGATCAAGAAATTGACATTCTTGATTTTCATCTTCTTTTGGCCTCTAGAATCTGCCATTAAAATTTTTCCCAGGGGTTGGCCGAACGGACGCAGCAAATTCGCCGACCCGAGTTTCTCATTGCAAGGAAATTACTTCAAAGCGACCAGTCTGGGAAACTAGGAAAGTTGGTGAAAAATGATCCCAAGCGGGCAAGTCCTTTCTCCATCGAAACTAACGCGAAATGACTCTTGAAGTGTACGCGTCAGAGGGTCGGTTTTCACGAATTTCACGTAAAAACTAGACGTAATACAACCCGCGTGATCTGCAGAAATTAAATCCTCGGTAAAAATGGTCCCGCGCGGGCAGCACTCCAGCATGGTGATTGACTTGGGAACGACTCTTCAAATACGCACGTCGGAAGATCCGTCGACGTTCTCGAGGGGAAACGTAACCCAAAGGGCCTGACGTGTGAAAACCGAGTTAAATCCCATCGTGAAACCCAAAGCAATCGAAAAGTGAATAATTGAGCGTCGGTTCTCGAAACTGACTTGGCCAATTACACCGAAAAGCAAGCGTCGTTCGTCAAACAGCTCGTCAAACCCAACAGCCGGAGTTTATTGATACGACGCGTTTGCGCTTCCGGTCGTCGCCTTGTCGTTCGAAAATTCCGCTCGATGCTGGAAAACATTTTTCCGGGGCGGGGTCGTACGGAAGATAAAGACGACGATTCCCGAGAACTGAGGGACTACCGATCCGTATGATTTCATAGTTGAAGCGTGTGCCTCGGAATGGGATCTCATAAATGTTCACTTACGAGGAGAAATGTCTACTCGTGCCCGTCCCGCGATCGGTTCCTCGATCGAAAATAATATACCATATTTCTGATGGAAGGTCCTCAGAATGCACTCTAATTTTATTGGCTAGCACATCGCGTGCAGTTTAGGCGCATCGAATGTAGCAATTTCGAAACGATCGAGCCACCTACTGGTATCTCGGATAATTTCGTTCTACGGTTAAATCTACAATTTTCACGATACCTATTTGGCAAATGGTATTTCATCCATATTAATAGCAATCCTCTCGACTGTTCTTAAAGAAAATATCCGATAATATATATTTCGTCTCCACCAAGCCTTCTTCGAGTTCTTCGAGGAGGTTTTTAATACAACGGAATCATCCGGAGTTTCCCCTAATCGATCCCATCCCGTTGCTCGAATAATACGAATAACGTCGCGAGATCGTACCTCCGACCTGCGAAGCCATCGATTCGATTCCATTTGTAGGACGCCGTGGATACTGAAATCCAATAGCGAATTTCTGATTTTGGGGATTCACCGTTTCCATTTTTATGCGCGGGAGGTAGGCTCGGTGGGCTCGAGGAAACTATCATCGAATAGGATGTGTTCACATTCCGAACGCGGAACCGAAGTTATCGGATAACTGCATTTTGAGCGCGATCGGGAACGCGGAAACAAATGTCCTCGAGACTGTGATCCACCGTTGGGGTTTTGAAAAAGGCGCTTAGGAACGGCTCGATACGACATTTTTCCAGTTCCGGCTCCGATGAAATTTTACAAGAGAAAACAACATTGGGAAGATATCCGGAATCTCAAACTATTTAATCAAATATCTCGAAAGCAATAGAGATAGAAAAATACATTTATTGGTAAAAATGGCCCCCCTCCAAATGGGGTGAAGTTTTCCTCTTGCAAACTTGTAATATTCAAGAACCAACATCGGAAGATTTCTTGCCAATAGAAAATGGTAAAAATGGTCCCCAAAGAGCGTACTCTTTGTTTCCCCCCGATCAATTCATCGCGACGTCGAAGATCACCTGTCGCAGGGATCGTTGGTGCGATTTTGTGGTAGGAAAGGAGGGACGATGGAGTTAATTTTGTGAACCTTGAGCGTGTCCTTCTCCTCCAAGGGTATGCTGTTCCCTCCGCCAGGATCAGCCTCGGACGTGCTGACGTCGCTGGCGAAGTCGCACGTGACGATGGGTATTTGGACCGGCTGGTTCTCGATGGTGGCGACGTTCTCCATCACGGATCCCGGTGGTTTCTTAGTCTCCGTGGCCGGCGTGCTCTGTGTGAAGCTGGTCTGCCTGACGTCCGGCGACTCCGGCGGCGCCGCCGTTCGGCGTCGCGGCTGCTTCCGGATGCCGCGTCGCGCTCTCGCCTTCGCCGCGAAGTATATACGTATGTACACGAACACCATGATGCACGACGGGATGTAGAAGCTACCAAGAGCTGAATAAAGGACGTAGCCGATGTCCTCTGAAAGCTGGAACAGAAACGAATGAACATTGAATGGCCCCTTTGTTGGAACGGTCCCTTTGTCTCTGCGCGGAGAATCGAAATAATTTATCGTTTGATACTTTATCGCGACGCTTCGTTACTCGGGAACGGACGAGCAATTTATTACGAGGCGTCGTCACTTTTTCCCGCGTACAATTTTACGGCACTTTGAGGCCCTCGAGGATCCTGATTTCCTCATCCTCGATCCCGCCGTTGCCATTTGGCTCGCGTGTCTTTCGATCTATTATAGATAGAAGTTGTGTACTTTTTTATCATAAATTGGGTTTCTAAGAGTTTCCACGTATCCAAAGTTTAATTTGTCCGTTTCTACAATGACCGGGGTAAGAAATTGAATGAATTCTGCTGGAAATTTCGAACCCCCGTTCAGTTTCGTCGTAGCTTCGGATTATTCCTATATAGAATTTGTCGTGATTCCCGGGGAAGATGAAAAGTCGCGGAGACGACGAAAATTATGTACGACGCGGGTCAATGGAGCCCACCGGTCGTAGAAATTATCCCCGAGTCCCCTGCACGCGTTGCAAGTATAACAGAATTAAAAAAGAGGAGAAGGAAAAAAATTCATTTCGCCGGTTCGGTTGATACCTTCAAAGGGAATCTATTTTCCCGGGGGGCGGAGAAAGTTGGTCGTCCAATTTAACAAAATATAGGATTACGGTTTCGTGGAACCGGAGCGCCGGTCGATTTTTTACGAGCTCCTTTGCGACCCACGCGACCGGAGAACATGCTGAAACCGATTCGCGAATGAACTTCAATTTCAGCGAAGTTTCAAATGGAGGGTGGACCGTCGTTGCCATAATACAGCGTGGAGAAAAGTGAAGAGTATGATTGCCGGTTCTAATACTCGATCGGACGGCTGGGACCTTTAAATGTCATTTCTAAATACGGTGAATAAAAATGGACGCAGTCTATCGATTAATTTTAAGAATTCGGAGCCTTGGAAATGGCGGATAAAAATAGAAATATCCTATTTTCGACGAAACGAAATTCTCGACGCGATTAAAATTAAGATGATAAATTTTATTTGTTGATCGAGGGTTTTCAACCCTCGTATTGGTCTCATCGCGGGCGGTCATTTCTCCACGCTCGAGCCATTAATTCGTTGGGTCTAATTAAACTTGTTGAGCCCTACTTTTTACGGTTTTACGAACTGGGTTACGCCAGCGTCGGGTTCGAGTCCGCTCCCGTCGTCGAGGACCCCGGACTACGTGTGCGCGCACGTTGCCGTTTAATTCAATTTAATTTACGACTACGCAGCGCCGCGAACTCGCTGGAACGGAACGGGCCACCGCCTCTGAACAGAGCACATTTGATTCCGCGTAATAACTCCTTCGTTTCGCGTTCCATTTGCATTCGAATTATTAACGATACGAGACGACGTTAACGACGACGCGAACGAAACGACGGCCACGCCCGTTTATTTATTAACGAACGAGGCCGCCACAGTTCTCGTGCCATCAACGGGAACTACGTTCACCCCGTTTATTCGATTCGAATTTAAGGGAGTTATTCATTTATTCGTGCACGGTGAATCACGGCGATAACAAACTTCAGATTTGAATCGACATTTCTGAAACTGCTGCTCGCGAACCCTTGGCAATATAAAGGTATTGTATCGTATAATTTGTATTATCGTTACGTGTGCTTTAAACTAATTTCATCCCAAAAGCTATAAATAATAAAGATGTTTAAGTGACCCAGTTTAAATGCCCCCGTACAATGGAATACAGAAATGCTACTTGCGATGTTTCATACGCGTTGAAAACATCCATTAAAAAGTTCCCTGTTGTCGGCGGTGAACGCATGCGAAAGTAAACTGAAAATAAATCGAATTAAAATTTTCTGCCGTCATATTTTCCATTTTACGAGATGTATTTATTGGTGCATTAAGACTCGACGCCTTGTAAAATTGGATGTTTTCGTTGAAAATGTTACAGGTTGCAATGGCTGTTCGTTGTGCTATTTGGGTTAGGTTTGGGAATGTTTGGGAGCACCGACGTACGATATTCCGTGATCTGAGAATTAACAGAGAGTCATTTCCGTCTCATAAACTAGATCCACGTCAACGCTGACCGTTTCTCTGGCGAGGATTCATTATTGTTCCACGGGACAGTCCAGACACGCCATAAATAGGATCCCCCAAAGTAGAATGTGATAAGGTTTCTAATAGTGTATCTGGCGATCATGGGTCCGTTGTCAGTGTAGATTAATCCTGCAGGGAGGTCTACTTTGACCCACAGGATTCTAGATTGGATTCTAGGCGAAGATAAACTTTATTCTTATCCGTACGAATATTCCAAACAACGAACAGAAGATAGGCAAAATCAGAATTCGAATTAATAGCAAACACAGATTATTCTAAAAATAGTAATGGAATTATATTCCATAAATAAAGATTTGGTCTCAAATAATAATGAATAAAAAATATTTGCAATTTATAAAGTGTAAGGATCTTGACTAGTCGTAGGTTACTGCGAGTTAATTCTAAGTAAATTTCAACAATGGGATTATCTATGGGGCCATAGCGATCGAATCGTTGTTCCAACACGATTCCCCGTTGTGTGTCTTTTCGAAATAGCGCCGCACGATCGAGTAAATTTCGTTCCAACTCCCGTCTCCCGACGAGTTTCGCCGTCGTTCGAAGTCTCTTGTGAAACGATTAGCACGTATAAAATTTAATCTCTCGTCGGTGGAGGTTTAATTTGCCCCTTTTCGCGGCCGCTGGCCGTTTTCCTCTCCTTTCATATCGCTGGTTAGCCGGGTCGGTCTCCTCATAAATGTGGCATCCAGTGGACCGCTTTTTCTCACCCGAGCCAAGAAGATTGAAAAGGAACGAAGGGTGTGGGTGGACGGGGGGATGGGCAGGTGTACCGCGTTGCCGCGCAAACACGCGGAATAACGAGCAGTTCGGGACGGGAATTTATGAAAGCGCGAAAGCCAGCGCGTGCCCGGCCTCGGAGAACTTCCTTCTCTGCCACTTTTAACGAGCCCGGGGGCGCGGAAGATCGTCGCGATTTATGGAGACAAACCCGCGATCTTCTTGCCTCGCGTTAGGGATAATAGAGAGAAGAAATTCATGGAGCACTGACTCCACCATGGCACGTACAAAACTTGTGGGCGCAATCGTACCTTTCCAAGCTTTATTGCGACGCTTCGACTATTTACTGCGCTGGAGTCTCGTCAGAAATCGAGCCAGAATCTTTCGACTGCTCAAGACACGATCCCCCATCGGTTTAAAAAGGCTTAAATGGGGAAAGAAATCGAGAGTCGGGGGATGTATTGCAGGGAGTTGGAAAGTTGACACCTGGAAAAATCGATGAGCTTATTTAGTCCGGTGTAAACCTAAATTTAGCATACGCGTTCTTTGTATTGATCATTAAAGACGAGGGCTTCAAGTTGCTTCCGTGACAATCCAGGTGCCAACTTTCCAGCTGTGCACAGTAGATCTCTTAACGAGTAATTTAATTTAAGATTTCTTGTAATTCATTTCTCTTTATTTTACTGTAATATTAATTATTATTCGAAGTAGCCTTCAACGTAAAACATTTCTTTTCACCTGATTTAATTCATCATTTTTTTTGCAAATTTTACCTTTCACACGTGCTCTTCAAATAAACTAGAAACTCTCTCGTTTCTTTCCAAACGTTCAATAATATTTAACTTCCCTTCCACTGGCAACTCTTTGCCTTTCGTTGCTCGTAGAGTAAATGAAACGTGTATTTTTAACTATGTGTGCTCGTCTAATACTTGCGAAACACTAAACTGGGTCACTTGAATCATACCGTAGAGGTTAGTGGAATTATTAACGTGAAACAAATAGAGGTTTCGGAGACGCATGCAGCCAATTTCAACGTTTCGAATTTATAGGAAACCATCTTGCTTGGTACACATTCCTCGCGTACGTTTCTCTTTTGTTCGAAGAACAGTCGTCAGAAAATGTACGAATTTCTAATTCAGCTTCGAAAGATATTTCGTGACGACTGTTGTTTCACAGCATCGACCGATTGCAAAGGGGCGAAAGAAAAAGGCAACCGGAAGCTACGTCAAGCGTCGACCGACCGCCGTTCGTCCCTGTGCATCCTACCGCGGGAAATTTCACGGTTCAGGGCCGTTTGTTGTTTTTTCACCCTCGAACCTCGCGTTTACACTCGCGGTTTTCTTAATGAAAAATTCGTTTCGCTTTTTCCTCGAAACGGGAAGGACAGGCGCGACGCACGCGTGAAATAATAAGCAATCTCGAGCGGGGCGGTTCAAAATTCATAAAATCATGAATAGCAACGTTCGTTCGAGTCGACGAATTGCATCCAGGACTGGCAATTTCCGCTGAAATCGTCGCGGTTTAATTTACGCATCGACTGTTAAGCACCATTCAACTCTTACTTGACTATACTGGTAAACGTGTATATTCGATACTCATCGAATAAAAATAAAAATTTCAATCACAATTAAAATTCCTGATCACTTGACTCTAATCATGTTTGGTCAAGTTTGAGCAACTCTGGAGTCTGTTAACCCTTTGGACTCTTCAACTTTCTTACGAAATAGATAGTAAATACTTCAATCAAACATATATAAGTCCTATATAATCATTCTAGAGCAATAATATCGCTGTACATTCTTAGAGAGTACATCCAAATTCTTTTCAAAGGGTTAAAATATATAAAATGTTTATAAGTTTGCTTATAGTTATTCGAACTTGTCGCGCGATAGAAAATTTCTTCCCGGATACGATCCACCGTGGTCTTCCTTTTCCCCGGCTGGTGCAATAATAATAATAATTGGACAAGTTCGGGGAAGAATCCACGGAACGACGCCATAGATCGACATCGTCCGAATGGCGGCGCGCAAACTTGGCTATTCCCGAACGAACGACGCCGTCGCGTTCCTGAACTCGTTTCATCGGGAAAACGGGGGCCGTTTGCCAGCGATTTCAATTATGAATCGCTGATAAACGACGCCCGGACGCGC